AGCGCAGTGGTTCTGCCGCCTGCCGTGCAAGCGCAAGGACCCAAGTTCATCACCCGTACCCCAAAAAAAAAAAAAAAGTCCAGGAGTCAATGGCTTTACTTCTGAATTCTATCAAACATTTAAAGTACCAGTCTGTCTTAAACTATTCCAAAGAGTTGAAGAGGAGAGAATACATACTCAATGGTGAAAAGTTGAAACTTTTTCTCGGAATATCAGATAACATAAAAGGATGCTTATTTTTACCACTTCTGATCAACACAATATTGGAAGTCCTAGCCAGGCCAATTAGCCAAGAGAAATAAAGAAAAGGCATCCCAATTTGAATGGAAAAAGTTAAATTGGCCCTATCTGAAAATGACATAATCTTATATAGAGAGACCCCTAAAGATTCCACAAAAATTTGTAAAAATTAATAAGCAAATTCATGTTATAGTAGAATAAATGAGCAATACACAAAAATAAGTAGCATTTGTATACATTAATGGCAAACTATCTGAAAAAGAAGCCAAGAAAACAATCTCATTTACAACAGCTACCAAAAAATTAAGTACTAGGAATAAATTTAACCAAGGAGATAGGACCTGTACCCTGAACACTTACTATAAAATGTTGATGAAGGAAGTTGAGCAAGATACAAATAAGTGGAAAGATACTCCATGTTCATGGATTGGAAGAATTAATATTGTTAAATTGTCTATACTACCCAAAGCAATCATCAGATTCAACCAATCTTAAAACTCATAAGAAATTACAAAAGATCCTGAGTAGCCACAGCAATCTGGAACAAAAAGAACAAAGCTGGAGGTTATGCTATTTGACTTCAAAATATACTACAAAAGTCTAGTAATCAAAATACCCTAGTACTGACAGAAAACAGACATAGACCAGCGGAATAGAGAGCCCAGAAATAAATCCTTTGTTTACGGTCCTTTGACATTATGCCAAAGCACACAGTGAAAAAAGGATAATCTCTTTAACAAATAGCATTGTATATTGTATATCCACATGCAGAAGAATAATTGAACCCTTACATCAAATGTTATATAAACATCAACCCAAAATGGATTAATGACTTAGACATAAGACCTAAAACTATAGAACTCCTAAAAGAAACACAGGAGAAAAGCTGTATGATATTTGTCTGGGCAATGAGCTGAAGAGGTAAACACAAAAATTTGGTCACAGAAGAAATGTTAGGTAAGTGGAATAAGTTTCAAGAGATATATTGTCTAATCTGGTGGCTATAGTTAGTAACAATGTATTGTATTCTGGAAAATTGCTTAGAGAGTAGATTTTAAGTGTTCTTAGGTGGAAAAAAAAGTAGATGAGATAATGTGTATATTAATTAGCTTAATTTAGTTATTCCACAATCCATACATATTTCAAAATATGTTGTACTATATACAATATAAAATTTCGATGCGTCAATTAAAAATTAGTTTTAAAGGGCTGAGGATTTAACTCAGTGGCACCATGCCTGCCTCTCACACGCAAGGTACCGAGTTCAATCCTCAGTACCAGAAGAAAAAAAAAAAAGTTTTAAAATAATAAAAACGGGCCGGGGATTTAGCTCAGTGGTTCCGCCGCCTGCTGCGCAAACGCAAGGACCCGAGTCGGATCCCCGGCACCAATAAATAAATAAATAAATAAATAAATAAATAATAAAAATTAGAGAACGCCGAAAGTACATAGGAAATAAAATCCGCCATAATCATGTCAACCATTGATCTCAAACTCAGGATGATCCTCCTACCTCAGCCTCTCAAATGCCCGGATTACAGGTGTGCACCACCACACTGGGTTTAACAGACATATTTTTTAAAAAGCAAAGCTCTAAAAGCAGTGGAGAGTGAACACAAGCAGACAGGAATGGAGAGGGGTCAATACTTGAAAGAAAGGACAGCACAAGACTGTAAGAAGTACTAAAAGAAATTCTTTAAGCTGAATGGAAATTATACTAGATGGGAACCAGATTTTCAGAAAGGAATGAGAAGCATGGGAAATGGGAAATACACAGATAAATACAAAAGACAAAATATTTCTCGAGTTCTTTAAAGTGCATATAATTATTTAGAGTAAAAACTGTAAATTTGTAATAATATGACAAATATAGCACAAAGAATAGGGTGAGGTATACATAGAACTAAATAGAGTAATAGGTGTTGAAAGGTTATCACACATTAAATGAAGTGGCATTTTAACAACTCTAAAAGCTAAGACTATATAATATAATACCTAGAGAAACTATTAAAAACAATGTAGAAACTAAAAGGAAATTCTAAAAATAAAAAATTTCAGTTAATTCAAGGCGTCAGGAAAGAAAAACAGGAACTGACAACGAAAGGACCAAACAGAAAATAAATAGCAAAGAGGTAGATCTAAACTCATTCATATTAATAATTCCATTAAAAGTAAATGGACTAGGTCCGGGGATTTAGCTCAGTGGTTCCACTGCCTGTCTTGCAAGCACAAGGACCTGAGTTCAATGCCCGGTACCAAAAAAAAAAAAAAAAAAAAAAGTAAATGGACTAAATATCCCATTCATAGGCAGAGATAAATAAAAAAGCAAGACCCAACTATTTGCTCTCTGTAAGGAATTCAGCTTAAGTATAAAGATAACTATAGGTTGAAAGTAAGTGGATAAAAAGTAATATACCAGTAAGCATAAAAAGCTAACGTTATTAAATTAGTCTATGGGACAGAGAGTAACATTAGAAATAAATATGAGCATTTTATGGTGATGAGAGAATTTTTCAGAAAAAAATATACAGCAAAAATTGATAAGTTAAAGAGAAAACTGGAAAAATACACATTCATAATTGGGAGTTTAACAGCCTTTCTCAGTAGCTGCTAAGGAACTCTGAAAAATGGCTAAAGATCCAGAAGATCTAAACATTATTGTAGTTATGTATTTTTACCGTTACATCACATTATCAGATATTTTTATACTGTTATAATTTCAAATGAAAATAAGTAATTTTTAGAACAGTAGGATAATTTCCTGGACACAGAAAGTTTGGGTAGAAATGTAACATGAAAATTCCAATTTGAGGTGGAGACTAAACACATATTGCAGCCTCAATTTCTGGCTATAAAATCATGAAAAAGACAGAAAAGAACTTTATAGTTCCATCCTCTGTGAAATAGAAAGAGACACATTAACTGAACCAGAACCTATGGGGTATCTCCTGAAAAATTAAGGACAGGTAAGATTAAATCAAGGAAGAAAATCAGAGTTCCAAATATAAAAAAGATGTAGGATAAATATAGAGTCTGCCAAAAATATGTATACATTTCAGGAAAAGAAAAATAGTATGATTTTTTTTCTACAGATGGTGTTACCCTTGTGTGTGGGACCCTAGAGGATGTTGTTTATCACAGAAAACCCACTACACTGCCGGCCCTTAGAGAAGAAATTGAAAATGCATGTGTAGCAATCTCAACGACCAAGGTTACACAAGCAGCAGTTCACCGTACTGATAAATGTCTGGAAGCTAACGGCCACCACTTTGAGCACCTCATATAATTGTAGAGGCCAAAGGTAACTTGTATTAATCTCATGATTCTCAATAATTTAGTATTAAAATATTTATCCAAGTTTTTCTTTTCCTAAAGTGTGTATACATTTTTTTGGTGGATTCTATATTTGGGATGGCAAATCCAATGGTGCCAGTCAACTGCTTTTTCAATTGAAGCTGGAAATCCAGAGGATCATGTGAAATCAGGATTTTTAATATTTTAAAAAATCTAGAGCAAAAAAAAAAGATACTAAGGTGTGAATTTGCAACCTCTGTGTGGGGTTTGAGAGGCTGTGCTGCTGCAGAACTCATGATTAGCTACCGGACAAAATAAAGCACCTATATTAAAAGATTAAATATCAAAAGTTACATTTTAAAATTTTAGTATTTATACAAGTCTAATGTTGGAGTAAGAAAATCTTTTCCTTCAAAAAACACTAAATATTTTTTGAAAGGCAGACAAATTTTACTCTATAAAATGGAAATATTTGTTTTTCAGAAAGTCCCTTAGTAAATGTTTAACAAATATCAACTATCTTAGTTTTTTAATGGTATGTAAACTGCTAAGACTACTATGATCCATAGGTCTCAGTTTGGACTTTCCTAGAGTAGATGAAGTATAAACAGAAATTTACTTTTGTAAGACAGAGAAAATAAGCAATTCCTACCTCTCTGGAGTTGTGGAAAACTGTAAAACTGATCCAGAAGGCTAATATAAGCGACAGTACCAACAGGGACTTACGATGTGCCATAGTTGTTTTCATAATTCAGACCCTGTAAGAGGCAATACAAAATACACAATCTTAAAGCAAAACAAAACAGAAAGAAAATCATGGAAACACATCAAATTTTTATGCCTCCTGATTACTTTTATCCTCAGATAAGTTATTCTCAGAACTCAGCTTTGGCCCTCCCAGCTACCCCTTGATGTGCCCCAGCTGCTGTCTTTGGCTCGGCTTGTACACTCCACAGAAGAGGAACTCCGTGGATCTCACCACAGACTACAAACCCAAAACAGGAAGCATGCATGGTTGCTTATGTGTCAGTGACTTCTCCAGGCTGTGCATCACCTAACACATTCTTTTTGTTTCCCCCTTAAATGCAAAGAGCAGTGCTCACTTTGGCAGCACATATACTAAAAATATTAAATGCAAAGAGCAGACAAAACACTTCAGCAAATACTGACACTGAGAAACATATTATCATGGTACCTTTCTAATACAAATTGATTTTATAGCTTCCTTAATCCCTGTCTGTAAATATGTTTCACTTTCTTGTATTACTAACCTTTCCAGCACTCCTCAACCTTGAAAAAATTATTTTAAAACTCATTTATCCCTTTATTTTAAATATTTTTCAGGTTTTATCAGTGTTTTGTCTTTAATTCATATTAATATTTGTCTTTGACTTGGAATTTCAAGTTGTCTTTTCAAATTGCTTGGGCTAAGTGTGTAGCTCAGTGGTAAAACACCTGTCTAGCTTGTGCAAGTCTCTGGGTTCAATCATTGGATCACAAAATAACAAAATAAGGTAAAATAAAGACTGACTGAATGCTGCCCTTTGAAAATATTCCAGCTCTTGAAATTTACTCTCTTTTAGAAGCACTCACTGCCCCCGGTTTAACATTTTATATACAGACATCAGAGATGTTAGCACTCAGAAATGAATAGTACCACTTTCCCTTATCCATTCCATTTTGTAAATATTTTCATACCTTTAGCGTAAAGACAAGCCTCAAGGTATTCAATCTCATACCTAGGAACTTAAGTGAGCTGGGTGTGGAAGATTTTCTTTTGAAGCTACAAATGCTATTGGGGTGTTTCTTATATCAAAACGAGTTGTATAAGCTGCAGTCTCAATAGCTTGGATTCTGCACGTTTCGGCTCAGAAAAGTCAGGCATGCCAGCTCTATCTTAAGGAAGGATCTGAATCACAAACTATAATTATGAGGTCAAGCAGAAGGAGAAAGAGAAAGGAAATGATCTATATGATAGATAAAATGATTTCTTTGTCTCAAGCCTTAAGGAGTTCAATTTTAGTAAGCATATGATAAATATCTGACAAGAAAAAAGCAAATAAGGCCAAAAGTTTGATCGAGAGTAGTCACCTGTAAGGAGTTGAACTTCCTGGTTTCCATCTGAGCCCTGATACCAAAACCCAAGTGCCGGGATTCAAGCACATATTATTTCACATAGAGTATGTACTCAATAAAATTTGCTGAATTGAACTAAAGGAAACTCAAATACAATGAAGTCAAGAAAATAATATTGACTACCTCTCAGATGGAGAGGATGACAGCTTACATTTACAAGTTTGAGTCCATCTGGGATTTGTATTCTTGATCTGATGGAAACAGTGCCAGAAAAAGCAGGTGGCTACAGGAAGCAGCAGCGGGTTGGCTTGAGGGTCCTTCTATGGTTTAATGGGTCTCATGCTGTCCCATACACAAGGCAAAAGGTAAATGTCCATCAATCCTTCCAGTCTCTTTTTGTTAGCAAGAATCAGGACCCATTTCAAAAAATCTTACAGATTTTAATCCTTCCAACATCCTTTACTATGGTCTGCCAAACAATATTTTTTTGTGATTTTACATGGTGATGGTTTAAAAAACTGTGTTAACCTTGTAGACTGGGGCTAGGATTGCTCGATTCTGCTCTAAGGAACCAATAATAGGAGGAGATATTTGCTGTGGGTCTGGTTTGGCTGCTCCTTAGGAGACTCGTGCCAGCAACCAACCAAGTTCACAGCCTACTCCAAGACACATAGATTTATGGAGTTTAATTTTCTTCAGGTATACAGATACTGGTATTTAATGTGAACCTGGGAACTTTTTATAAGGTAGGCATACTTGTGCTTGATTTAAAGGACTGAAAGTACAGAAGACAGTTTTAATAATTAACCCAGATTATCGTGTGAGATTTGAACAAGGCTAAGTGCAGGATTCCTGTCCTTTTGACCTCTGATTCAGAGTACTTTCCACTACTCAGCATGACTTCAACTCGTAAGATAATCAAATTCAGGTGGATCCTGTGGCTCATGTACTTATTGTCCACTGTACTCAGAAGAAAGGACTCTTTTTTTCTTTTTACCATGTTTTTCTTCAAAAGGTTCAAAAGGCTAGGGTGAGCAAGATATATGGTCTTCTGTAGTGTGCTATCCTTGCAGTTAATGTGCATTTCATCATCATGTTTGGTACAGCAGTTTCCTTTCTCCTAAATTTGTCTCAATAAGGGGTCTACATATGGAAGCTCAGTCACAGGTAGGACCATAGAGCTCTGAGTTTACATAATTAAACAAAATCCAGGAGATCAACAGTTCTTTGAGGAATGAGTAGAGTAAGAGTAGTGCTGCTCAGATTCTAAAAGAACACAAGCAAAACAGGCAGACTTCATTCAGCATTTGGCAAATCAACAAGCAGGTGTTCAAAGAACGGTCCCTGGAGTCCAAGTCATAGTTAGGGAGATGATTCTTATGGTTTCAGAAAACAAACAAGATGTACTCTGTCACCAAGGCCACACTGCAAGGTGGTCAGTCTCATTTCCATGTGATTAAAGAATAGGAAGAGGGTCCTTACCCTGGAAGAGTGAAACATAAAGACTAGAGAAGATTCAATATCAAGAATGACTCAGGAGCGCAGCAGTGAGAACTTAGCATAGGACTCATTAAGTAACCATAAAGAGCCCAAGCTGTCACAGCTCAATTTTTTTTCCCAATAGAAGAGGGTAAAAAAGCAGTGCTGTGCCACATGAATAGATAGCTGACCATGGCCCCAGACTTCCCAGCCATGGAGAGGGCCAAGGACTTGGTGCCATTTTTAGTTTTGCAATGGGAAATGGACTGCTGTGCCCATGGCTCTCTTTGAAAAAGCCAGTGAAAAACACTATAGATACATCACTTGTTACTCCACCACCTGACAACAGAGATGAGCATCTATCTGTTTGCTAACTGTGTGGTGGTGAAAACCTGTGCAGAGGCTGGCCTGAGAACTCTGCCAAATAGGGATGCTCATTTTTGGTGCTGACCGTCCACCAGTCAGATCTTCTACTTGTTGAAATTTGAAAGACATGAATGTGTGTACAGAAGAAAGCAGTTGGTAGGTGGGGGTGGGTATGGACTACACTGACCGGAAAGTGGCAACTAACATTTATTGAGGACTTACACATACCAGAAGTATACCATGAGATAGTTACCATTTTCAGACTGGGAAAATGAGGCATGGAATGTTTAAATCCACTAGCTAAATCTGTGGTTAGTAAATGGAAGAGACAGGCCTTGAACCTAGATCTCCAGAGCTGCATTTTTAACCACTATCAGGTTCTACCAGAAGTCATGAGGCAGCAAAATCCATGAAGCAGACAGGAAGAGAGTAGAGATTAGATGTTAACAGCAGAAGTAGGTGAGGCAGGGATAGGAAGTGATTATGTCACTAAAACAATGGAGCTCCACAGTAAGCTAGGTATGCTCCTGAGATGGTATCAAGACTATCACTAGAGCTGCAGCACTTCTTTCACATAGTTCCTCAGCATCACTTAAGATCTCTGTGAGCCCTAGGGCATATTGTGAGTTGGACAAAAAGAAATTTGGAAGAAAATAATTATTTTTCTCCCTCAATTCACAGGCAGTATACTAACATGTATGAAATATATATGTAAGCCAGCTATGTATATTATGCACGTCATTATTTTTGTTTGCGACTACATAAAAGAACATGTTTTCCATGAAGATGAGAAGTGAGACAGGAAGAATGAGCATCATCTTCAAGCCCACCAGACTTTAACACTTTAGTAACACTAGCAGCATGTATCTATGTTTTCATTTTCATGTATCATGTTTTCTATTATGCTGGTATATTCCTTTTAAACAGGTCAAGAAACATGTTTTTTCACAGTGATGTGTGATTGGTTCCTTGAACAACCTTAATGAATGTGCACCTTGACAGGAGAATATGGGCACCTGGCCATCTGGTCAATTTTTGACCTAACTTTGTATAACATGTTTGCCTAATTGAGATTTTTATCCCCACGATCAAAAGAGAAGGAACTTATTTTTAGAATTTGCAAGGAGTCTTCGCCTTCAGGATTGACTGGAATGTCTCCAACATGAAGGTCCTTTCAGTCATGTGATTGTAAAGCGAATGTATGCTCCCTTTTCTTGCAGAAAGCATGAGTTAAGTGGAGTAACTCAAATGCAGATATTTTAGAATGAAAAATGTTCTATTTCATAATATAAATAGATACATAGTTAAGGTGCACCATTTTTCCACAGAATTTATCATTCCTTTGAAGGTGTTGTCTGGTTCTCAGTATGGACTTGAATTGCTCCATATGCTTAAATTACTTCTTGTTTTCAGGATTTTTTCTGTTCTCATTTAGACAGCTATGCATGGCTAATTGGGAATCCTGGCCACTGGAGTAGAGAAATGCAGGTCCAATTTTCTGGTCACTTCTGATTCATGGATTAATTTAGCCAACAGAGACTAGGTTGGACTACTGATGTTAATGATTTGGTATTATTTGTGACTGAATAAATCAAAGTTTATAAATATGTTGGTAATGGATTATTGTGTAACTGACACTTAGAAACCTTGGAATAAGTCAGGTACCTGTTTATAGAGTTTAGATTTTACTTTAAGGAAAAATTCTGCACTGTCATTTATCCTAGAGAGAGATCTATCCTAGGACAGGAACTTGTAGGGCCTTGGATTTTGGAAGGAGGTAGTTTTGTGTTCTTTCTGGGGCTCTAAGAGCCAATTTGATCTAAGAGTTTCTTAAATTCTTAGTTTCGAAGCATAAACTTGTGTTGAGGGAGGTGGTGGTAGCTGCAAAAGGTCTAGTTTTGGTTTTGAATCTCTAAGTATAGTAATATTCAGTAGAACTTAGCAATTATTTTCACCTTGTAATTCTTTTCTTGGTACCGGGGATTGAACTTGGATCCTCCTGCTTGCAAGGTGGGTGGCAGAACCACTGAGCTAAATCCCCGGCCCCTTCACCTTGTAATTCTTGAGAGATTTTTTTTTTTGGTACCGGGGATTGAACTCGGGACCTTGCGTTTGCGAGGCAGGCAGAGGAACCACTGAGCTAAATCCCCAGCAAAACTCACCTTGTAATTCTTATTACTTCTGCAACTAGTAGTAGACTCGTTTAAAATTGTACCCTTATCTCAGCTATTCTTAGAAAAATGAAAGTTGTGCATAAGACTGAACAAAAAGGAAAAAAAGTGCTCTGAAGCTTATTTAGAACAACAGAACCTATTATGTTTCCCCTCTCCTACCCCCAGGGTAAAAATATTGAGCAACAACTAACTCTACAAGTAAATGCTGCAATGAATTTTGAAAATGAAAGACCCTGTCTGAGATATAGCACAAAGGGAAACCCTGATTAAGGGACTCTTATTCCAAACATTTTACGTTGTTAAAGGGATTTGAATCCTTTGGTACATTGAGGTTAACCAGAGTAACAATAAACTTCAAGTCTATCATCAGCCATGGTGGCATATGCTTATAATACTAGCACTTGGGAGACTGAGGCAGGAAGATTGTAAATTGAAAGTCAGCCTGAGCTACATAGGGAAGTCATCCTGGACTGCATAGCAAGATCCTGTCTCAAAAGAGCAAAAACAAACAAACAAAAGATTCAGGTTCAGTCCCATTCCTGCCTAAATTAACTCCCTATCCTAAAGACTTTCTAGAAGGAAGCACATGCCTATTTTAACACAAAATACTTGCATCTCTAATGTTCTATATAAAATATCCCAATTTAAACAACAACAATGATGACAACATCAACAACAAAGAAGTTTAAGGAAAGGCAGAGAGCAAAATGCCACATTCTGGCACGGGCATGTAGCTCAGTGATAGAGCACTTGCCTAGCATTGAGGCCTACACACACACACACAAAGACACATTCCTATGAAATAGGGAAATTAACAGAACAAGATAGGTAACCAGGTTCACACGCTGGAATTACCTAGCAAAAAATTAAAATAACTGATTGATATGACATAGTATAATAGAGAAGGCAGACAACTTTCAAACTGCTGAAAACAAAAACAAAAAGAGAAAAATCCCAAAAGTGGCCAAAGACAAAGGACAAATTACATATAATAAGAGGTGCAGCAGGGTAATTATCAGAAACCATTCAATTGCAATGAGATCTTTAAAGTGCTGAAAAAAACCTGTGAACTGAATCCCAAGTTCAGCAAAAATATCTTCCAAAAGTGAAATATAAATACTCTCCCAAATGAACAAAACCAGACTTTATTACTAACAGAAGTTGTTCATTTAAAATGAAGGAACATGATATAAGAAAGAAACTTAGTTCTGCACAAAGAAATATAGGGTGTTGAAAATAAATATATGAAGGTGAAGTACAATTAGCTTTCCATACTTCTTTTTTTTTTTTTTTTGAGACAGGGTCTTGCTATGCAGTTCAGGCTGGCCTTTAGCTCACTATGTAGCCCAGGCTGACCTTGAACTTGCAGCAATCCTCCTGCCTCACCCTCCTGAGTGCTGGGATTATAGGCGTGTGCTACCACACCTGGTAATTTTCCGTACTTTTAATTGCTCTGGAAAAAAATGATTCCATAAGGAAAAAGGAATAAGCACTGAACTATGTGTTTATAGTACACAGTAAAATAAAATGTATAACAATAAAAGCACACACAGGGCCAGGGATTTAGCTCAATGATTCTGGTGCCTGCCTGGCAAGTACAAGGTCCCAAGTTTGATCCCCGGTACCAAAAAAAACCCAAACAAAAACACACACACAAAAAATGAGAGGTAGGAAGTTGGAAGACCTATTTTAAAGTCCTTGTACCCATATGAAGTAGTATGTTAGTTGAACATTCATTAAGGAAGAAAATAAGTGTGGTACTCTGTGTCTTTCACCATGATGCTCTTCACCACATTGGGACCTTGACAGGCAGAAAGCCATTACCAAATGCAGCCCCTCTGCCTTGGGCCAAGATCCTTCCTGGATTTACCCTTGCTGCCTTCATATTTCTGTGGCCCATTAAATCTGTGGTTAATTATCCCAAAGGATAAGTAACAAAGTGATGCTACGGAATGATTTCTGAACATAGTTATAGGCCACAGTCTGATCGTATTTAACCCGTTTCAATGAATCCGATGACAGTCAGACCAGCAGATCAGATCAAAGTTACTTTGTAACTTTGCAACCATTTAAAGGCTTTCTCTTAGAAGCTTGTGATGCTGAGGATTGCGTTGGCTCTTCACACGGATGTACTGTCAAGCATCATGACTTCTGACCTCTGAAGATATGTAGGGGTCAGCTATGAGTCACATAAGTTCATTCAAAAACTCAGAAATTAAAGTCTACCTCAGACACTGACTCAGATCACATATAGTCTCTATTCATAGTTGTTGACAAGTATAAAATCAATTGAGTGGAGATCCCTAATCCTATACAACCAAATATACTTCCTTTTACAACACATACAGCTACAATAATACTTTTGTCAATGTTATCTCCGGTCTCCTATTTAACCAAATCACCCAGTGCCTCAGACTGTGGGAGTACTAGGAGTTCTTTGAATCTTGGCCATAGAAGGCACACGCCTGTATCTTCTTGTCTTTCACAAGAGATGACCAGTCAGTGATGGTTGAAATGAGCAGTCCCAGCAAAGGCTATTTATCATCCGCATTTTCTCATGACTGGTGGGTGAATGATGATGTTTGTATGTATATTCACGAAGATCACATTGTACATATGTATCCTTTGGCAGGACAAAGTTACCTAGAATGAACTCTAGGGACACCTTGAAGCTATGGCTTGGAAGTGCAGCTAATGGTGATCAAATTTACATGTATTCTCACCAATTTTTAATTACATATAAAAAATGTGATGTGAAAGACTATCCGAAGTATAGAGAAGGATCCATCCTTTACTCCTTGTGAAAGTTCATGGTGCCTGGATGGTTGGGATATGGATGACTACTATTAGCATAGGAGTATGCCCAGTGTTTCACAGCTGTCTGGTCAAAAGCTTTCTTTCTTGGTAAACAGTTCAGTTTCAGGTGCATCAGGTGTTCATGCTCACTGTACCTGTACTCATCTGCTTTGTTTATGTTATTATACATTTTATATACATAGGGAGCTAGAGATGGTATGTAGCCTATCACCCATACCTCAGTTGTTTAGTGATGGCTTGAGTAGTTCTCCAGCCTCGTCTGGCAGTCTTCAGACCACCTTTACATCTCCCCAAAAGCAAATGTTTACCTGGATTCATTGGAACTTGTGGTAACAGCTGCTAGAATAAAAGCAATGGCAACAATGTTACTAGGAATGGATTTACCAAGTTTAAATCTCCCTGATCAATGGAAAACCTATGTGATGATTGGATCTATAGCCTAGCACATGGGGACCACGACCGTGCTGAAGACACACATTTACTGCCCTCTTAAAATATTGGATGGTCTTAGAATTCAGATCCTTCACTCATTTACTGTGGCTGAAGCAGAGGATCATGCTTTTAAAAAAGTAGAGTTGGCAATTTATGTCTTTGGGAATGTGCCTTTTTTCACCATATTATCTGCTATCAACCACCTCTGAACAAGCTAAGACCTTGGCTTTTGCAAGTTAGGTAATAATTATCATCAAAGAAAAGAAACTTGAAGCCTATACTAACTACCTGGAGCATAGTCACGAATTCTAATTTGGAAGACCAGGATCAAGTCTGTAGAGGAATTCTGAAGTCTGGTCTTTAGAAACTGTCATAGTCACCTTTCTCATTGCTAAGACTCAGAGCCCTACATTCACAATTTAAAGGAGGAGAGGTTTATTTTGGCTCATAGTTTCAGAAATTTTCAGTCCACAATTGGGAGGCTCAAATGCAAAAATAGATGGTGGAAGGGCCTGCTGTGGAGGAAAGCTGCTCATATCATGATGCTCAGCAAGCAGAGAAAGATATAGTATTCCCTTCCAGGTCATGCCCCCAGTGACTCGCCTCTAACCAGGCTCTACTTCCTAACAGCATACTCAGTTACTGAAATCATTAGTGGGTGAATCCATTGGAGTATGATCATGCCTCATGATCCAATTACCTTCCAAAAGCTCAGCCTGTGCATGCATGAATTTTGTGGAACATTCTAGACATTCATAACAGATATTTGATACCCATAACAGATATTAAATTCATTTATATAGACTATAAGCTTATGTCAGACCCTCATGTGTAATTCTGGGTCCTCAAGGAAATGTTCTGCTTGGGGGAAATGACTGTCAAGTATTTCTTGCCAAGATTTTAAGAGCATTAACATGTAAGAAAAACCAGGTGAGGTGGCACTCATGTATAATCCTACCACTCAGGACGCAGAGGCAGGATTGCTGTGAATTCATGGCCAGCCTGAACTACAGAGTGAGACCCTATTTCAACTCCCCCCTCAAATATTAAGAAACCTGGAACAACATGGAAAAATATTGAGGTAAATACAGCTAGCCTTCTATATCTGTTGATTGTGCAACTATAGATTCAACAAACCACTGATCAAAAAAATGTTTTCTTTTTGAGACAAGGAATCTTGCTTTGTAGGCTGGCCCTGAACTCACTAGTAGCCCAGGCTGGCCTTGAACTTACAGCAATCCTCCTGGTTCAGCCTCCTGAGTGCTGGGATTACAAGCCTGTGCCACCACGCCCAGCTCTGATAAAAATTTTTGAAATAAAAAAATTGCATGTGTACTGAATATGTACAGACTTTTTTCTTGTCATCGTTCTCAACTATTTTTAAAAAGTATATTGTAACACCTCATTCAACCACTAAATATTTATTTTTTTCTTATTTTTAAACATTTCTTGTTAAAATGGTATAAATAATAAAGAAATGATGGTGATTAAGTGGAACAATGAAAAATGCCCAATTAACCCAAGGTATTGAAAGAAGGTGAAAAAAGAAATAAAATATAGAAACCAGCTCTCTAGCTAGCAGATTTAAATCCAGAGATGTAGCAATAGTGACTTGAAATCTGAATGATCTAATCCAGAGGTAAGCAAGCATATTCTGCGAAGTGCCAGATAGTAAATATTTTAGGAGAAAGAAGTTACAAACAAGAAAACAAAACAGGTATGGCATATTAAAATGAACCCTGTGACATTTAATTATACTTACTTTTTTATTTCTCCTTCAATCAATTTTGTGTTTATATACCTCAAAAATATTTCCTCTGTGCCAGTCTTTGAAAGTGTATTGGCACAAAGTTTTAACCCCGCCCCCTGTAGTTCAGGCTGGCCTTGAACTCACTGTATAACCCAGGATGGCCTCAAACTCCATCTCACAGTGATCCTCCTCCCCAGCCTGCTAAATGCTGGTATTACAGGCATGCACCACGACACCCAACTATTCTCATTATTTTAAAAACCTTCCTGATGTCACATGTAATGTACTTGTTTTTTTCAAGCCCCTGAATTATTTATACATTTTATTTTTCCCTTAATCAAATTTACTAGAAAGTTGTCAACTTTTTAGTTTTGCTCCATGAATCAGCTCTTTATTCTGTTGATCATTTTTGTTATTTCTTTGTTTTACATGATGTTCATATCTTATTCTATTTCTATGATCTCTTTACATCTATTTTCTTCAGATTTACCATGTTGTTCTTTTTCTATTCTTGACTTGGACATCTAGTCACAATTTTCATTCTATTTAATAGTTGCATTCATAATTATATACTTCCCTCTTGGTATAATTGATTGGCATCACCTAATGGTTGATATAAAGTACTTTCATTGTCCAATACTTTGCAATTTTGTTGTGATTTACATTTAAATGATGAATTCACAAGTTGTTAAGATTTTCTTTTGATTCAGTATGTGGTCTTTTTTACAACTTACACATGTACTAGAAAATAATATATTGCTTCTCTTTGTTTCCCTGGTGTTCCCCCTACCTTTCTGAAATAAACATTAAATATTTATATTGATTTCTTTTATTTCTTTGTTTCAAATCTTTTAACTCATCTTTCAGATTCTTTCAACTCTATAGTCCATGATGATTTATGGGAGAGTTATTCACCCTGATCTCCCAGCTCACTAATTTTTATATACATTCTACTCTTGCAATAGACTATTGTTTATTTCAGTTATTATATATTTAAGATTAAGAATCTTCAAAAAGTTTTTTTTTCTGACTGCTTGTTTTTGCTTCACATTGTCTATATTTCTACATTATCCCTTTCTAATGATGTTTAGGCTTAATTCTAATTCTTGCTCTGTGTGGTTTACTTTTTTCTCTTCTTATGTAAAGGTTAATAGTTATGTTCTTCAAATGTCTTTTTTTTTTTTCAGCTCACATTTCCCAGAATTTTCTACTACTTTTGATGGTATGGTATCCCAAGGAGAATGAACCAAATTCCAAGTCTTATCTTGTACCCTTGCCAGTGAATTTATGAAGCTAGAAGGCTTCCTTACTACTAAGACCCTGTTTGGTTTTGTTCTGAACCATTTCCTATTTTCTCACTTACAGACATACGAAATTAACTTCAAGTGACACATCTGTATTTTGGCACCTGAAACCCAGCTGCTTACCTATTTTCCCACAGTTCTCTAAGGGCTATTACCTTCTTGAGATCTAATCATCTATACCACAGGTTTTCAACCAAAGGTGCTATTTGAAAATATGTGAGGAAAATTTTGGGATTACTATAATGACTCTGGGTTATTACAGACATTTAAGGCAAGAGGCTTGGTATGGTAAACATCACATAATGCATGGAAACCCCCCACAAAATAAAGTACTGTATCAAACAAAATTATTTGAGTTCTTTTGGGCTGTGATGCTGGAGGAGTTGAAGTTTAGGAAGGGCTCTTTCATTTTCATATGTAGGTTTCTCCTGTCTACCCTCAGTGTCTTTAACGGTGACAGATGCCACTGCGCTGGCTCCAGTTGGTACTATAAGATAATGTCATTTCTCTGTCCACCTTATAGTAGCAAGGTGGCAATAAGTGTTCTAACTAGCACACTGTCGGGGAGTTTACAGAACTCAGAATACTCACTAAGTCCTTTCCCTGTTATGGATCCCAGCTTTTTCCTGCCCTTGTGTTGGCTTCCTCTTCTTAAGCCTTTACCCAATTATGCACATCAGAATCCAGTCATTTGGGACTTCCCAGGGATTTCTCAGTTTCTGTAAATATCTGAAATCTGTCACCTCCTTTTCATCTCTGGCATCTCCAAAGTAATCTCAAATAATGACACCAGCATCTTCTATTAATATACTATCTTAGGATCTCATTAGGAATGCTTTCTTAACAGCATATTTGCCATAAAGAACATGGATTTGAAAGATTAGAGCAACAAGAGGGTTTGCATACACCAAACAGAATGAAGAGCTAAACTCAAGTGTAGATGGCAACTAGATGCTTTAAAAAATTTTTTTTTTTTTTTGGTACTGGGGATCGAACTCAGGACCTTGTGCTTGCGAGGCAGGCGCCAGAACAACTGAGCTAAGTTCCTAGCCCTAAAAAATTAAAAAAAAAAAAAATTAAAACCAGGACCTTCAACCAGGCGTGGTGGCACATGCCTGTAATCCCAGCACTCGGGAGGCTGAGGCAGGAGGATCCCTGTGAGTTCAGGGCCAGCCTGAGCTTCTTAGTGATTTCAAGACCAGCCTGAAGTATATAGTGAAACCCTATTTCAAAAAACCAAAAATAGGGCTGGGATTTAGCTCAGTGGTTCTGCCGCCTGCCTCGGAAGTGCAAGGTCCTGAGTTCAACCCCCAGTACCGAAAACAAAATAAATCCCTGCCCCCAACAGCAACAACAAAACAAAACACCAAAACTAGGGCCTTTGCACTACGCTATATCCCCAGGATTTAAAAATTTTTTATTATGCAACAGTCTCATTAAGTTACCCAGGCTGGGCTCAAATTTGCAATCTTTTTGCCTTTTGCTTTGTTTTTCCCTCTTGCTTTCTTGACACAGCCTCCCAAGAGTGCTGGGATTATAGGCAGGAGCCACCATACCCATAGAGCCTTGTTGAAAACCTAATTTTGAGTTGATCCTGCCCATGACCTCTATAGTATGATAATCATGGATCTATGGTTCCATTTTTGCTGATGTTTTGTAGAAAATATTGAAGAAGCCAGTTGTCTTATATTTCAGAATGGTATATGGAAAAATGAAGAGGAGAAAATTGAATTTTCTATTCTTTGTAAGTATTTTGGGATCCAGTGTCACCTGCTTGAAGAAAGAACAAACTAATGAAAAATTATCTGCTTATAATTAAAGTTGCAATTTAAAAACATCTGCCT